GTATTGACTCTTCTCTTTACTGCAGCATTAGGGAGCGTTTGTCATCTCTGACATGAATAACTGCTCCTCTCCTGGGAAGGGGGAGAGGGTTTGCTTCAGCACTGACATTTCACACCCCAGCCCACAGACCTGCCTCGAATCCTGGACGATGCTCTGGGGATACAACCAGGGGCTTCAGTGTCCCCGCAGCAAAGCCAGAGCAGGACCAGCTGACCCTTCCCACCCATCGAGTCACACAGCTCCAGCATTCCACATGGCCCAGGGGGAGAAGGGCCTGGAGATGCTCTCACCTCTGCCAGGTACCAGCTACAGCGCCACGTTGCTGATACAGAATCCAACACAAGCTGCAAGTCTTAACTCAAGTCCCTCAGAAACAAGCCAGAGGCCTTAAAAAAGGGAAAATCCCCCCAAACCATCAGAGAAACCATCCAGCAGCACCAGAACAAGAAAGCAGCAGCTCAGACTTGCCAACTCATTGTCTAGAGACCAACAAACAAGGCTCTCCGCTCCTGTCCCAGAGATCACAGCATGTTTAACTAACGTCTGCCTGTTTGCCTCTGTCTTTTGAGCTTTCAGAGGTGTTTTCAGGCCTTTCTCAGGAGGTCCTGGAACCAGGAATGCTTTCCTGTGGGAATTTCAGCCTTTGTTAGCAGGATGCATTCCAGGGAACAAAAGCAAGAGAAACAAACTCCAGCTGTAGCAAGACTTGGAAGAACAGAGCCACAAGCATTGCCAGCAGGAACCCCTCCAAGGCACTGGACCACTGGATCCACAAACCACCCCTGCAGCATCCCTGTATTGCTTTAGAACCCCCCTTGCCTGGAGAAGAGCCTTCCCAGCTGGGATACAAACCAGGATCACACCAGTCAACCCCACAAAGGTGTGTACCACCAGGCTCCCATGGGAGCAACCACCATGGGCAAAGCGCCTGCCCCATCTCCCTATGGACCTGACCACAGATGAACCACACAGAGCTTAACCTCGAGGCGCAGCAGCGACACTCACAGTGCCCGACAGGAGCCAGCCAGACTTACCTGAGCAGTGGAGAGCTGGTGGGTGCAGGATGAGGTCCCAGCCATGGAGGGTGCTGGCCAGGAGCTGTGTGGAAAGGACCTGGAGGCTTTGAAGACCAGAGTCATCTCCAGGCTGTAATTCCCCACTTGGTTCCCCCACCCCTAATCATGGCAGAACCACCAATCTGCTGGGGAGGGAGGAGGCTGCCCTGGTCCCACCCCTGTGCCAACAGGGACCCCCAGCTCCCTTCCAGCAGCAACTGGTCCCTGTGCATGGGGAAGACCAGGGCAGAGCCTAGGGAGGGACTTGCTGAGTGCTACAGGATGGATTAATCCATTAACGAGTCAGCTCAGGAAACGAGGATGGCAGCGGGAGCACCTGGTCGCTCCCAGCCCGACACCAGCCAGTCTTTACCCAAGGGCTGCATCCTCTGGGAATTAAACCCTTTGCAGGAAACCACCACCACATCCCATCCCTTTGGGATGCGACCACTCAGAAACTCGGACCAAGAAGGGGAAGGAGATGTGGGGTTTGTTTCACAGGAGATGGTGCCAAGCGGCTGTATCAGCGGGTGTGTTGAGAAAGGCAAAGGGGGGTTGATGGGAGCAGGCAGCAGCGAGGCAGCCTTTGTCCTGGCGCCAGGCAGGAGCGGGTGCAGCTACTGGGGCAGATGGGACTCACACCTCTAAGCCTGGTGGAAGCTCCTGATCACCATCAGCCTCTGCTGATGGCAGATGAGGCCCTTTTCCATTTCCAGGCTCCTGCAAGCCAGCAGCTGCTCAGCCCGGTTCGTGTGGGCACCGCGGCTATGTCACCTGCCTCCCACGCC